AGCCAGTTGAAGCTTTACATATAATCCCCATGCACTTTGGTCTAAGTAGATTCCGTGGAATCGTTGTTGTTGTTTAAGATCCAGCAACTCGGAACAAAAAGTTGCAAGTAGCACGGTCTATGGTGAGCCCGTAGTGGACTTTTTTTTTTTTTAGATATATACAAGAGTTGTTACATTCTTGTACAGCCACTAGTACGCGTAGCGTTTCGGGCAGGTCCCTGGAATACGATCCCCGCCGCGAAGAATCGTTGTTACAACCAAGTACACATTTTACTGTTGTGTTAAACAGAGGTTACAGTTAAGGATTTGCACCCACTTGACTTACCTGGCACAGGAGCGGTGCTATATAACTTCTGTCCGTGGAATCGCAGTTTACGGGCTATTCATGCCCATGCCACCTCTTGGGTGGCTTAATCTTTATCAATCAATCGCAGTTGTTGTTTAAGATTCGCTACTCGAAACAAAACGTTTCAAGTAGCACGGGCTATGGTGAGCCCGTAGTGGACTTACCTGGCACAGGAGTGGGGCTGTAACTGTCCCGTGGAGTCCCAGGCTACATAACATACCACTGGTGGTACAGGGGCGCGGCTGGTCGCTGGTTACAGTCATTCAATTGATTTTCTCATTGATATACAGTATATTACATTAGTGTTATTGCTTTGTGTATTGTCATCATCATCGGTCATGCAGTGGCTCTATTCTCGACTCACAAGTGAGGATCCCAGGTTCGATTCATGGGCGGGATAGAAAAAGTTGGGCACGTTTCCCTTTCAACTTATGCCTCTGTTCACCTGGGAGTGAATAGGTACCAGGAGTTAAATAACTTTTGTGGGTGTTGCCTCTTGGGAAGGTCAGTAGTTCTACCTTGGGGGGGGGGGGATTTCGAGACAACCCCTAAATTATACTGAATTTACCTGAATTTACGCTCTAATGGAAAAGAGCGGAGGTTTCCACACTGCAGTCTACACTAAGGAAACAAACATAGGAATGTGCCTAAATGCCAAAAGCGACTGCCCAGATAGGTATAAGAGGAGTGTTGTTAACGCATATGTCGACCGTGCTCTCAGCCACAGCTCAGAATGGAAGCAAGTCGACGAAGAACTCTGTAGGGTAAGGCAGGTCCTAGTCAACAATGGCTTCTCCAATGGTTTCGTTGAAGACATCATAAGAAGGAAAGTGAAACGCCATGCAACCTCTGAAGAGACAACCAACACAACACCTATACCCCCTATTAGACTATTTTACAGGAATTTCTTTTCCACAGCTCATAAAACGGAGGAAAGGGTCCTGAAAGATATTGTTAATAGAAACGTTATCCCTACAGACAAAAATCAGAGGATACAACTGACGATTTACTATAAAACCAGAAAAACGGCCAGCCTACTCATGAGAAACTCTCCAGACACAAAACAGAACGCTTTAAAAGAGACTAACGTCGTCTATGCCTTCAAATGCCCTCTTGGGGACCGTAAGCTCCAAAAAACCCAGTATATAGGCAAGACAACAACATCTCTTTCTAGGCGTTTAACGATGCATAAGCAACAGGGCTCCATTAAGGAACATATAATCTCTTCCCACAACCAAACCATCGCCAGAGAAATCCTAGTAAACAACACAGAAATCATCGATAGATACAGCGATAGCAGGCGGCTTGACGTTTGCGAGGCATTACACATCAAGAAATCAACACCAGCAATCAACAGCCAATTAATGCACAACTATATTCTACCCACCTCAAGACTCCGCTCCAATATAGAAGCATCAAGAAATATGGACCAATAGGCTTTCTGCAATCACTTCTATTCAAATACCCATTGTTTCATGTTCTGGCTTGTGTTGATGAAATTAATACCTTATTAAATACCACCTCACCCCATCCACGTCACTCAAATGTAGATATAAACAAAATCGGAGATGTGTAAGTTCTATTTAGTTGTGCATGTGTTAACTAAAGTCTTTGAAAATGTAATAAGTTTTACGAAACGCGCTCAAGTGTCGCGTCAGACTAGAAATAAAAATGAATTTAGGAGAATTGATTTTTGAATTACCTCCAACAGTGAAAAGAAATGTACGAAAGATTGAGAAAATTCGTGTTAGAATTATTAATCTTACTTTTTCGGTCATATTTAATAATATATAATAATATATGTCTACAGGAAAGACTGCTACCAAAATATACTAATATATATATATATATATATATATATATATATATATATATATATATATATATATATATATATATATATATATATATATAAAAGTTTGTGAGGGTACCACCTCTGGTGCCAATGTGGGGACCCATAGCCTCGGAGAAGAAAATAAAAAGTATTCAGAGGAGACCTTGTGGTTTCTCACTGAACACTAATATTATCTTCTCCTACCACCCCCATTCTTTTGTATGTACACATATATATTTACTTTATTTGAACTTTGTTACAAAAAAGGAGTTACATATGGGTTACAAAGATGGTTATCATAGGTTGTCGAGTTCCTCCAGCTCCTCAGATGGCGGGCAGGAACTCTGGATGCAGTGCGCATTTCCCCTCTGTATCGCCACACTGAGGCCCTGGAAAAGAAAGCTTGCAGCTCTTGGGTCCCTTGTTGTTTCAATGAGCCTAGAACCCAGTTCCTTCAAAAAACTGGTAGCACTTTTACCCCAGGCGCCAAGTGTCTCAGAAGCAATGGGGACAAAATTGTAGTGGTGATCCAGTTCTCTATACTTACGGGATTTGGCTGCTTCCCTATGGGTGGCAGCGCCACCTGGTTGTGCAACACTGAGGTTAATGTAGGTGTTAGCCAGGGTTGATACGCACGTGTAGTCCCATACCAACTGCTTGCCATTCTTCCAGGGGTTCACTGTGATACCATCCGGGCGACCAATAAGAGCATCAGAGTTACGGGGCGTTAGGTAACGGGGCTCTCTTTCAGCTGGGCATCCAGCTGTGGTGAGGCTCCTCTTGATGTCGTTAACTTCACTGTGCCTCGAGTGCCATTCCCCTGTGCTTTGGCAGAGTAGGCCATGGTGGCCGTACCTGTCAGCCACCACCTCGCCGCAAATACACCTATATCTGGTGTGGATTGGGGCAGCAAGGCGGAGGGCCACAGCAATTCGGAGGGCGTGTGGTGTGAGACGCGTGTCGCGTGAGATATATATATATATATATATATATATATATATATATATATATATATATATATATATATATATATATATATATATATATATTTATATACAGGCTTCCAGTCCCCAACAAAAAGAATTATTATTATTATTATTAATGTTATTATTATTATTATTATTATTATTATTGAAGGCGAAGGAAAGAGCCAACATATGTGTAAATGTACGACCGGCGTGAGGGACCATCAGGGACGGGACTCCCGTGTGAGGGACCATCAGGGACGGGACTCCCGTGTGTGGGACCATCAGGGACGGGACTCCCGTGTGAGGGACCATCAGGGACGGGACTCCCGTGTGAGGGACCATCAGGGACGGGACTCCCGTGTGAGGGACCATCAGGGACGGGACTCCCGTATGAGGGACCATCAGGGACGGGACTCCCGTGTGAGGGACCATCAGGGACGGGACTCCCGTATGAGGGACCATCAGGGACGGGACTCCCGTGTGAGGGACCATCAGGGACGGGACTCCCGTGTGAGGGACCATCAGGGACGGGACTCCCGTATGAGGGACCATCAGGGACGGGACTCCCGTATGAGGGACCATCAGGGACGGGACTCCCGTGTGAGGGACCATCAGGGACGGGACTCCCGTGTGAGGGACCATCAGGGACGGGACTCCCGTGTGTGGGACCATCAGGGACGGGACTCCCGTGTGAGGGACCATCAGGGACGGGACTCCCGTATGAGGGACCATCAGGGACGGGACTCCCGTGTGAGGGACCATCAGGGACGGGACTCCCGTGTGAGGGACCATCAGGGACGGGACTTCCGTGTGAGGGACCATCAGGGACGGGACTCCCGTGTGAGGGACCATCAGGGACGGGACTTCCGTGTGAGGGACCATCAGGGACGGGACTCCCGTGTGCTTGACTGCAACAACATAATAACATTCAAACAAGTTGTATGGCATCAAACAGCCATTGTATGTACTAGCTCCATCTATATATCGATCAAATTATGTAAAATCTCTTGTACCTTACCTGAATAAACATTTTATTTTTATTTTATTTTAATTAGAACACAAATATTGATCTGTTTGTAAATAAAAAATACGAATATATAAAAGCCAACTTGAATGGTGGGGAAAGAGCTCCCACAAGACGCCGGTTTCCTCTCACCTAGAGGCAGTGACCTTCAGGCGCACACAAATCTGAACCCAAATATTGGGTTTGTTAGTAAACAGAGGTGGAGGGTGGGTGCGTGCGTGCGTGCGTGCGTGCGTGCGCGGGCAGGTAGGGTGCTCGGGAGGGTTGCCGGCGAGGGATTATGTGTAGCGGCAGCGGTGTTGCCCACCCGGGCTCTCCCTCGCCGCTAGCAGACGACGTCCACCGCTCTCCAAACATCACTTCCATAAAAGCCAAACTTCTGTATTTTGGGCAATGCCGCAGTCGTCTTGACTTGTTGTTTCGTTTATTATGTATAATTTTGGGAGTTGCTTGAAGTAGAACGGTGTCGTGATTACTGGTTTCATAAAAAATATACGTTCTATGTAATCATTGTAATAAGATCCTCTGTAAACAAAATTAAAAATAAAATATTATTTTAAGTACTATTATCATTAGCAGTAGTAGTAGTATTTTTGTTGTTATTATTGTTATTGTAATTATTATCATTAATTATTAAGTGATGTCAATTAAAGTTCAAGCAATATTCCCAATACATGAATATTATGAAATTATTTTTGTATACTTTTATAGTTATTAAATAATAATTTTTCATTTGTTATTTACATAAGTCTTATTAAAACAATGTATTGTTATTTACGCTTAGTAATTCACTAATGTTTGAAATTGGAACCGTCGTCCATGTTTCAGGTTAGTTGATGTTTGTCTTCGCGCCAAGTTGTCGTTCCCTTGGATTGTTTTGACGACACTTTGGACAAATTAACCCCCAGTTGGTTGCATTCGGTAGTCAGGGTGCTCTAGCGAGCGCGCTCGAGCCTCTGGTCACCTTGAAACTTGAAAAATGAAGGCTATACTGAAGTATATAGAAGTAGAAAATTTTAAGTCCTATCGCGGTTTCTACCATGTCGGACCTCTCAAGCCCTTTACGGCCGTCATCGGCCCAAATGGATCAGGTAAGGCTGCCTCACTCTGATTTCTGTATCATTAAATACGACAAGTAAGATCTAGCTCTTTATCGGCCGCCTCCTGTCCTTCCGTAAGGTCATGTATTATGGCCCCCCGCGGTTATCCTGTGAGCAGTGTAACAGATCAACCCAGTTGATCTGTTGAAGTGTTATAAAACGTTAACTGTTGTGTTCACCACTGATCCGTAGTAAACATTTGGAATATGGAACGAAATAGTCACCACAAGTGTGTATTCCTAGGGCCAACGGACGTCAGATCATTTAATAGACTCGGGGGAGTGCCCATCCCTCCTCAATATGTATCGTCTAAGAGGCATGATTTACAAGGAAAGGCTACGTTAATTACACCTCACGTTGCTGGAAGACAAGACTTCATGATCTTCACATACAAAATTCCTAGGGAATTGGTAGATATGGGTAGACTAGGGTAGATAAGTATGGGTTATTTAACACAGGTGGTACTTGCACAAAGGGACACAGATGGAAACTGAGTACCCAAATGAGCCACAGAGACATACAAAGGAATTATTTTCTTTGTCAGAATTGTTAACACTTGAAATGCATTAGGAAGTGATATGGAGGAGGCAGACTCCATACATAGTTTCAAATGTAAATTTGATTGAGCTCAATAAGGTCAGGAACCTCTACACTAGTAAATTGACAGTTGAGAAGCAGGACCAAAGAGCTGAAGCTCAACCCCTACAAGCTCAATTAAGTGAGTATAGTACAACTAGGTGAGTACTCAACTGTGTACAAAACAAATTGTTAATTCAAAAGAATGTGTGTACAAGAAACATAGGAGTAATGTACAATTGTAGGGACAAGAGTTACCTGATCTATGAACCCACTATTATGCAAGGCATTTTGGGGCAGAAACGTAAATGGACAAAAAATTTAACCGAGGTATTAAGGGTAAAACACTTGATACTAAAGAAGAAAAGCTAACTGAAGAGAACATTCATGGAAAATAACAAATGAATGCAAAAAGGGTGACACTTAAGAATGATTGACATAGACTATTACAATATGGAGTTAGTAGTTGTAGCAATAGTAAAGTAGTTAATTTACATTAGTAACAATGGAAATACAGGATGCAGTTTAGAACAGCAGCTGGACTCTTTCTCATAACATTTTGTTTGGAACATAATAGACCATAGAGTAATAAAGTTGTTTAAGGTTAACTGGCCTTGCAATAAAAATGAACCCAAAACATGAAGGACATGAGTAAACACTTTAACGAGGAATTGAAAGAAATTAGATGACAATAAATGCAAAGTACACAATACTCGGCAAATAAAGATTTAGGAAAAAGAGTAACAAAAATAACTTATTACAAGGAAAAATGTTAGTGAAACTAGTTACAAGGAATAGCTTACTGTATAAGATAATAATTACATGATATTTTTTAGTCTTTCTTTTAAACGTGTTGAGACATACAGCTTTTAATTACATTTGGGGGGTCATTCTACAATTTGGGTCCCTTGATTTGCATTGCATTTGTGCTTTGGTAGAGTCTCACTCTAGGAATATCAAAGAGATACTTTATTTGTTTCTTGTGTGGTGCCTGGGAGTTCTATTACAGCCTTCTAGGAAGTACTTAAGGTCAGGATTGATTTTGCAATTCAGAGTTTTATAGATATAGAGAATACTTGAGAGTATGTGCAGAAACTTGATATTTAACATGTTAAATGATTTCAGAAAGGGAGCAGAGTGGTGTGTGGAACTGAAGTATATGATTGTTCTGATTTATGATTTTTGTTGAGTAATGAGGAGATCGGAGGTAATTATGAGTGGATGATCCCTAGGCACAGATACCATAGGTGAGATATGGATAATTGAGTGAATAATACAGAGTATCTAGGGCAAGGCAAAGAACATAGTATCTGACTGTGGAGAGAATGCCAACTGTTTTAGAAACATTTTTGGTAATATCTTGTATATGGCAATTAAAATTTAGTTTGTTATCAGTGTGAACTCCAAGGAACTTCCCATCTACTCTGCTCGCAATTTGTGTATTGTTAATTCATAGATCAATTTGATTGTTGCACTTGTTACCAAACAAAATGTAAAATGTCTTGTCAATGTTAAAGGGAAGTTTGTTAGCAGTCAATCAGAAATAGACTTGATTAAGTTTAGTATTCACCATGTCTTTTAGAATAAGTGGGTTAGCATGTGAGAAAATGAAGGTTGTATGATCAGCAAATAGAATTGGCTTCAAATGTTGTGCGGTATTTGGAAGATCATTTATATATATATATATATATATATATATATATATATATATATATATATATATATATATATATATATACAATCTTTGGACAACACCCACCAGTGGGACTCGAACCCAGAAAGCACAACTACCTTCCAGTAGCTGGCATAACTAGTATGCTTTAACCCACTACGCCATCAGACCTTACAAAAGAAGTAGATAGTTCGAGATATATATATCTCAAACATCTCTACCTCCCGAAGGCACCAGATGAGTGAGGGGTCAGTCTGCAATTTTCGTCAAGCCACTGTCAATGTGAGTGGGTGTTGTCCAAAGATTGTTTATCTTCACTTGTGGTTTATGCAAGTATAGGCTTATAAGCTGGACACGAGTTCTCTCACATTGACAGTGGCTTGACGAAAATTGCAGACTGACCCCTCACTCATCTGGTGCCTTCGGGAGGTAGAGATGTTTGAGATATATATATCTCGAACTATCTACTTCTTTTGTAAGGTCTGATGGCGTAGTGGGTTAAAGCATACTAGTTATGCCAGCTACTGGAAGGTAGTTGTGCTTTCTGGGTTCGAGTCCCACTGGTGGGTGTTGTCCAAAGATTGTTTATCTTCACTTGTGGTTTATGCAAGTATAGGCTTATAAGCTGGACACGAGTTCTCTCACATTGACAGTGGCTTGACGAAAATTGCAGACTGACCCCTCACTCATCTGGTGCCTTCGGGAGGTAGAGATGTTTGAGATATATATATCTCGAACTATCTACTTCTTTTGTAAGGTCTGATGGCGTAGTGGGTTAAAGCATACTAGTTATGCCAGCTACTGGAAGGTAGTTGTGCTTTCTGGGTTCGAGTCCCACTGGTGGGTGTTGTCCAAAGATTGTTTATCTTCACTTGTGGTTTATGCAAGTATAGGCTTATAAGCTGGACACGAGTTCTCTCACATTGACAGTGGCTTGACGAAAATTGCAGACTGACCCCTCACTCATCTGGTGCCTTCGGGAGGTAGAGATGTTTGAGATATATATATCTCGAACTATCTACTTCTTTTGTAAGGTCTGATGGCGTAGTGGGTTAAAGCATACTAGTTATGCCAGCTACTGGAAGGTAGTTGTGCTTTCTGGGTTCGAGTCCCACTGGTGGGTGTTGTCCAAAGATTGTTTATCTTCACTTGTGGTTTATGCAAGTATAGGCTTATAAGCTGGACACGAGTTCTCTCACATTGACAGTGGCTTGACGAAAATTGCAGACTGACCCCTCACTCATCTGGTGCCTTCGGGAGGTAGAGATGTTTGAGATATATATATCTCGAACTATCTACTTCTTTTGTAAGGTCTGATGGCGTAGTGGGTTAAAGCATACTAGTTATGCCAGCTACTGGAAGGTAGTTGTGCTTTCTGGGTTCGAGTCCCACTGGTGGGTGTTGTCCAAAGATTGTTTATCTTCACTTGTGGTTTATGCAAGTATAGGCTTATAAGCTGGACACGAGTTCTCTCACATTGACAGTGGCTTGACGAAAATTGCAGACTGACCCCTCACTCATCTGGTGCCTTCGGGAGGTAGAGATGTTTGAGATATATATATCTCGAACTATCTACTTCTTTTGTAAGGTCTGATGGCGTAGTGGGTTAAAGCATACTAGTTATGCCAGCTACTGGAAGGTAGTTGTGCTTTCTGGGTTCGAGTCCCACTGGTGGGTGTTGTCCAAAGATTGTTTATCTTCACTTGTGGTTTATGCAAGTATAGGCTTATAAGCTGGACACGAGTTCTCTCACATTGACAGTGGCTTGACGAAAATTGCAGACTGACCCCTCACTCATCTGGTGCCTTCGGGAGGTAGAGATGTTTGAGATATATATATCTCGAACTATCTACTTCTTTTGTAAGGTCTGATGGCGTAGTGGGTTAAAGCATACTAGTTATGCCAGCTACTGGAAGGTAGTTGTGCTTTCTGGGTTCGAGTCCCACTGGTGGGTGTTGTCCAAAGATTGTTTATCTTCACTTGTGGTTTATGCAAGTATAGGCTTATAAGCTGGACACGAGTTCTCTCACATTGACAGTGGCTTGACGAAAATTGCAGACTGACCCCTCACTCATCTGGTGCCTTCGGGAGGTAGAGATGTTTGAGATATATATATCTCGAACTATCTACTTCTTTTGTAAGGTCTGATGGCGTAGTGGGTTAAAGCATACTAGTTATGCCAGCTACTGGAAGGTAGTTGTGCTTTCTGGGTTCGAGTCCCACTGGTGGGTGTTGTCCAAAGATTGTTTATCTTCACTTGTGGTTTATGCAAGTATAGGCTTATAAGCTGGACACGAGTTCTCTCACATTGACAGTGGCTTGACGAAAATTGCAGACTGACCCCTCACTCATCTGGTGCCTTCGGGAGGTAGAGATGTTTGAGATATATATATCTCGAACTATCTACTTCTTTTGTAAGGTCTGATGGCGTAGTGGGTTAAAGCATACTAGTTATGCCAGCTACTGGAAGGTAGTTGTGCTTTCTGGGTTCGAGTCCCACTGGTGGGTGTTGTCCAAAGATTGTTTATCTTCACTTGTGGTTTATGCAAGTATAGGCTTATAAGCTGGACACGAGTTCTCTCACATTGACAGTGGCTTGACGAAAATTGCAGACTGACCCCTCACTCATCTGGTGCCTTCGGGAGGTAGAGATGTTTGAGATATATATATCTCGAACTATCTACTTCTTTTGTAAGGTCTGATGGCGTAGTGGGTTAAAGCATACTAGTTATGCCAGCTACTG